TTAGGAATCAAATTCTCTGCTGGAGTCATCTGGTGCAGTTCCGCTGAAGTCAGTTTCTCCCAGCCCATGCTTCTACAGGCATATCATCTCAGAGGTGCGTTTATAAGATGCATATGTACTTAAATACATCTGTACATGTCAAGAGAAAGTATTGCTCTTCCTTAGTTGTGGCCAATTTATAAATCCCCTTGGCTAAAAGCTAGGGGAATACTTGTTTTCCTTATGTGGCCTTATGAAGCAGCCATTTTTTTATTTTTTATTTTTGGGGGGGAGGGGGGTAATAGGTTCCTTGCTTCACTCCCACAGGAATCACATTCGTCACTGAAATCCGGCGCTGTGGTTCTCAAACGTCTGAACAAACGGAACATATCAATAATAGCAGGCTTTACAGATGCAACAAGCAAGAGTATGCTGCTCTCCTACAGTCACCGCAGTGACTCGGCAATGAAAAAGAAAGCGACCATCTCCTTATCGTTGGGCAACATTTCCACATGTGGGTGCCCACACGTGTGCATACAAGGCACCTCAATCAGAGTGGTCTGATTTTTTTTTTCCTTCAGGGCTGTTCAGCTCCTGGATAAGCTAATGAAGTGGGAGGTGCTCGGTATTTCTGTTGGTCTACATGGGGAAGTTCACCAGCAGTACGACACTGGCATAATTATACTGCTAGATTTCAGAGTAGCAGCCATGTTAGTCTGTATTCGCAAAAAGAAAAGGAGGACTTGTGGCACCTTAGAGACTAAGTGAGCTGTAGCTCACGAAAGCTTATGCTCAAATAAATTGGTTAGTCTCTAAGGTGCCACAAGTACTCCTGTTCTTTATACCACTAGAGTTATACCATATAACTCCCCAGGTGGACACACACTCCAGAATAAGTGTCCACATCATACGGCACTATACCAGTATAACTTCAGCAATAGAACTATCCCAGTGTAGTTCTGCTGGTTACTTTTCCCCATGTAGATAAGCCTTGAATCTCAGGTCACTTTTATTTGGATGCCTAAATATGGATTTAGCCTAATTTTAGGCTTCCGAGTTTGAAACATTTGGCCATTGTGTACAATACTTGTGATAAAATTAGAGTTGAGACAGTCACAATTTTTTTTCCCCATTTCCCATTACTTTTTGCAATTGGTGCAATTTTTGCAACCCTTTCAAACTGAGTAAGGCTGGGGGTCTTATAGCTAAGGCAGTGGGCTGGAACCCAGGAGATCAGGCTCTGATTCTTAGCTTGCTCTCTGATGTTGTGAGGATTGATGTTTGCAAGGTGTTCAGATATTATGGTGACAGGGCGCTATAAGGATGCACAATTTATGGGAAACTGGATATTTTTTTTTTTACTTTTTTTAGCAACAAAGCCACTCTTTGCTTTTGCAGAAGACTTAAAAAACTTCACTTTTTTAAATAGCATTTTTGGGGACCTATTTTTCCTTCTCACTGGTGCACCATGGCAATTCCCTGCCTCCCCCCCAGTTAGTCTCCCCCTTTTTGTTTTTTGGGGTTTTTTTTCTTTATTTGCAAGTTCACAATAAAATGTAAAAAACCCTGTATTTCAAGTAGTTTTGTATTTGTCCAGATAAAAACCAGTACTCGAGTTGCCTCAAACAGGACTGTCTGGATTTTTGTTCTACAAGTAAGCGTCCACGTTATCAAGAGATCTACCATGAAGAACCACCTGTACCTTTGAACTGCAGGTTGAGCTCACGGTTCTGCTGTGCTGGGCCTACTAAGTAGAAAATGAGCCCTTACCATTGCAGGGCCCAGTTCTCCAAGCCTTGTTCATATCAATGAGTACTCTTGCCAAGTGTCAATGGGACAAAGGTCAATCTGACTGAAGTGAGGGTTGCAGATTCAGCATCAGAGAGAAAGCAGCAGCATGTGTCTATTTATTCCTGCCTCCCATTGCCAAAGGCTTTTGAGAATGCTATTGCCATGATCTGCAGAACATCTAAATGTATAAAACCGGAGGCTGGATTCTGATCTCCGTGTAAATGGGGCATAACTGCACTGACTTTGATGAAGTCGATCTGGTTTTCTAGCGATGCAAGTAATGGAAATCTGGCCCCCAGAGCTGAGGGTCTGGTCCAACACCCTTTGAAGTCGGTCCCTCTCTTGACTTCCAGGGGCATTGGATCCAGTCCTCAGTCAGGGAACATGAAGAAGTAGCTGCTAAAACAAGTGATTAAGTAACCTGTCTGTAATATTTAAAAAGGCCTGTTTCTTCTGCTGAAGACATGATTTTATATAGTATCTTATTAGATTGTCTCCGCCCCACAGAGCTGACAATCTTTTTGTTCTGTGTTTGTACAGCACCTAGTGCCTTTCCTGTTCTACTTATAAGTTCGCCATTGAGTTCACCATTATCCTAGGCTACTGGACATAGGTACTCCAACTTCTGTATCTTTGGTAGTGGCTAGCGCCACAATGCTGGAGTTAGCCCCTATTTTTACCAAAGGGATCCTCAGTGACCACATAGTCTTGGTTTCTCCTCTCGTCTGCTTTATTATAGACTGTTACTGATTAGTGTAATAAACCTCCTGGCTCATTACTACATGTAACAGTAACTTGCATCCCCATGATCATTTACAATGTATTAATACACTATTGTTTCATTTCCAGTATCTTTTTTTAAGGTTCTCTCTTTTCAGATGGATCAGTGCAAATGTAAGAGATGCTGCTAGATTGCATTTGGGTTTTGTAGAAATATCAGGCTAATTCGCTTCCCACTTATGTCAGTTTACATTCATGGCTAGCCATTGACTCGCTCCTAATTCACACCAATGTGAGAATGGAATCGGGTGTCGGGGTTTTACTAAGCCTTGGTTTCCATGCTTTCTGAACTTTCTTCTATCCTGTTTGCTGTCCTAACACAGCAGTGTCTGACTAGCCTGTTGCAGTAGCCCAGGAAAGTGAATGACTAGAGATAGGCCATGAAAATCTTCACTGTGAAAAATGCACAAAAGGCAGAAAGGAAGTGAATAGCATGGATGGTGGAACGGAGGTAATCTGAGTTTTTAAAAATATCATTACACTGAAAATTTTTAAACATGACAGCCTTCTGCAAGCTACAGCCAGCGCTGTGTATTCTGCTTTCTGCAGGCCAAATCCTCCATTACTTTGTGCAGAGACACCCACATCCTTACATAGCAATGACAGCTACTCCACCCAATGATCTCAGGTGCTCTTAATATCCGAGGTAAGGAAAGTTTGTTTAAAAATGTGGTTTGTTGAGTTTTTTTTTGTTTTGTTTTTTTTTAAATGAATGACATGTGGGGTCACATCTTCCCATGCAGCCAAATAGCTCAGTGGGCATTTAGGGCCACCTGGTGGCACAAGGGATGTGGAAGGAGGCATCACTGTGCTGTCCCTACACCCTAGTGATTCTTCATTGGCTTTGGTATTCTTCAGATTGTAGCAGGCTGGACCAGGTCGAACAGAGCAGCTCTAAGTTTGAGAGGGCAAAGGTCTCTTAAAGCAGCCTTAGCACCTTCCTCTCCTGAGGGCTCCCACTTTAAAAAATATATTTTAAATCTGGGAAGTTTGAGCAAACTCTTGTCAGTCATTCTTGAATTCCCCAAAGCTGCCAGTGGGGAAATCAGCACAGAGTTTAAACACCACAACCCCAAACCTCTGGCAGTCCTGACAGCAGAACTGAGAAAACTTGAGCACAGAGCTAACCCCAGGGGTGGCCCAGAACTCCAGAGACCCCTGACAATCTAGGGCAGCTTGCACAATAGGCCAGACTCTGGCAACTTCTGCATAATCCTGTGATCATCATGGGGAAACAATGTGAGGGGTGGAGCTGCAGCTGTCAGTGTTGTTCGCTAACTCAGGGCGTGGATGTTGGTCTCCAGAAAGGAATGTTACTGAGACAGTTATTGACCCTGGAGAGCTGGGCACCGCTCCGGGGCATGGGAGGAACTACTCCCTTACAATCTGTCTTCCAAAGCCTTGCAATAACTGCAATTCCCCCATGGCAGCTTGAGCACGTGGTGCCTGGGCCCAGTCTCTAAAGGGGAACAGGGTCTAAAGTGGAGATCAGTCTCTCCAGGTTGGGCTGGTCTGCCTAAGTCAAGGTGGCCGAGGCTGAGGGGGTGGGAGGGCAGGGAGGAGTAGCCGCTAGTCCCTCACTAGAGGGGCCTTACAGTTCACAGTAGTCCAGTCCCTGGTTTTCATTGGGCTGCCTGGCATTTTGAGAGCTGTGGGCCCATTACATTTGTATCCATCTTGCTCAGGATGGGCTGATTCCCTCCCCTTTCCCCCCAGGAAGGCACATGTAACCAGATTTGTGTATCCCACCGAGGGATTTGGAAAAGCCCCAAAGTTTGGCCAGCTTTAGTGGGAGGGGGGAGGGCTCATGAGTCCATCACCCCGAGAGTAGGTGATAGCAATGGAATCTCCACAGGGCTACATCTAGTTGCTTTGGGCCTGGCTAACAGACCACTTCCCTCCTCATTCAGGTGCTGCTGTGATTGTCGGAGGCCCTTGAGTTCCCAGACCTTGGTACGACAGAGAGGGTGCGTCTGTCTCGCAGCGCCTTCTCCACGTGGGGCTCTGGAACGCCCTTCCCTCCTGGGTCTTCACAGCCTCAACGTAGTGAGCTTCAGTACAAGTTGTAGGTCTCTTTTTTCTCCTAGGCTTTGCTGGGAGGGATGGGGCACTGGGTGGGGATTAGCTGAGGGAATTAGTGTCTTGTTTTGTTCGGGTACAGGTAGAGAGTCCTTTAATAATTAGAGAGCAATTGATCTGAGTGTTTTATGTGCTCTGGGCCACACTGGTATCTTGACATTGTCTGGCTGTCATTTCCATGGTGCACAAGCCCCTGGGGCTCAGGCAGGCACATTGCAAAAATCAGAAGGGGAAATTCAAACTTTAGTCAACCAAGTTGGAAAGTGAGGCTCTTAACCAGGGAAATCCTGTTACTAAGCAACTGCATCTCTGCCAGTGAGATCATCTGTACAAAAACCGGTCAAACCATGTCTTTAAGGTGTTGCCTTGTGGGGTGTATAGAAGAGGAAGGCACATATCTGTACATTTTTTGGTGCAGAGGTGCCAGTTAGACCCTGCAACGGCCAGTGTGAATAGACCTCCAGAGAGCAGATTTTTTTTTTCTTATTTTCTAGTGGTGAGTTTGCAGGAAACTTTTTTTTGTCTTTCCAGTTCACACATGCTCAAGACCTTTAACTTTCAAAAGATCCAACATGTAACTTCCTTTATTTACAGGCAAAAAGAATTGCTACCAAGTGTACCATGGCATGGTGGAAGGGCTGGGTAAGTAGAGGAAATACTGGCGTGTGAAATTCTCTGTACATGATTTTAGAGGCGCATTGTCATGCCTCAGACAATATATAAATTCTATGTGTAGAGACAGAGTAAAATCCTTCCACTTACAAACTGACCACACCTGATGCATGACCACGCTGTGTGCGTGTGTTTGATTATGAGGAATTTGTTAAATATGTGTGCTGGTTTTTAAGCAACAGGCTAGCACTTTTATTGGCTGTTTGCTTATGAGAAGGGGTTAGGTGGGTGGAGACTTTACTGAAGGACATCTAAACTGAGGAAATGAGTTCTGCATTTAGTTCTGAGAGCTGTGAACAACTTGGTCAGTCTCTTCCCTTGTAGGAGTGAGTTACATAGTCTAGGTCCAGCTCCTGCAAACATTCGACCTCCCATTGTCATCAGCCTCTCGATTGGCCACCGGGCTGATTGCTCGAGCTGTGGTGGTAGGTCCTGGTCCTGGAAGGAGATGTGGTCTCAGGTAGCTATTCAAAACCTTCCATGGCAGTGGCCTATCAGTACGGAGAGCTGGACTCAATGGGGAGCCAAGACTACAATGTTCCTTTAAAGTTCACATTACTTTGAAAATGTACATTTCAAATCTGGTCCAGTGGCTGAATGGCTTTCACTGAGGCAGACCCATTCTGTACCTGAGGTCAAAGTGTGGAGGGCAGCAACTGATCAGGTGTGTAATTTAGGCCCCACTGAAATTAATGGCAAAATTCCTGTTACCTTCAGTAGGTTCAGGATTCCACCCTGAGACTTTGTACTGATTTACCAAGAGCTGGAGATAAAGAGGAGACCTAGATGATGATGATGATGATCTGGTCACTGGGAAAGCATTTACTTCCTGAACGCAGTCACCTACCAGCCACCAGAGTTACCAGGAGCCCTGTCCACAGTCGAGCGGGTCAGAAACATTTTGATGGTACACTTTCATTTGTTCCATTGGAAGCCTGGCTGGCTTCCTGCCAGCTGGGCTGTCCGGCACCTTCCAGAGCCCACCTGGCAAGTTAATGGCGAGCCAGGGAGATCCAGCTGCCCAAACTATAAGGCACATGGCTCTTAGGCAACCTGGGTTCTTGGAGCTTCCAGGGTCTCTGGCTCTAGGGCAGCCCATCAGGCAAACTGCCCCAAAGCTGGGCAGAAAATAATTCCCTTCTGCAGAGAACTTCAGAGCTTTGGCTTTTGTTCCAAACTGGAATGAAACCAGATTCTGAAATCTCAAAATCCTCCACAGAATGGTGTTCCAGTTCTCCACCCAGCCGCATTCCAGACACCAGCGCCAAACCGTCATTATCCGGATGGGGTTTGTTTAGCTGTCTTCCATTAACTGTTTTTGTCCCAATGCTGCCTCCTCTTTGTATTGCCCGGTAGCTGGACTCTATGGTTCTCATGTGATACAGATGGTGCTTTTACTCTAGCCAGTATAAAATATGGAGAACAGTGAGGGCCAGGATTCTACTTCAAGTGGGAAAAACATTTTGCTCTGGTTTTTGACTGAGAGCATTACTGGTAGAGTTGGTTTGAAAATAGACAAACCATTTAATGAAAAATTTCAAATTTGAACCCTGTGAAATGGAAACAAATGAAAGTTTCCTGTGTGTGTGTTTTTTTTTTAAATATTGTCTCATTTTGCCCCCCTCCTATTTCTGCATGAAACTTTTGAAATGTCAGCATTCCTCTTCCACCCCACCCCGTTTCACCACCAGGTTCAAGAAGATGAATAATGGGTGGAGGGGGGGCATGACTTTTTTTCCTTTTAGTTTTTAATTTTGCTGCTCTGTCACTCTTCCAAAATTGGAGACACTTTGAAAAATGAGAGTGGAAAGAGGAAGCAAAGCACAGAACCACGACCACTCCAAAAGCCCTGGAAATTGTTCCCCCTCCCCCAGTTTTTTTTTTAAATGGACTAAAGTTTGAATTTTCTTTTGCTTTTTGAAAAACAAAGTGAACATTTCAATTCAAAATTTTGAAAAATGAATATTTTGTGAGAAACTTTCCAGTTAAAAAAATCCAGGCAAAACCCACATTTTCCCACAGAAAACTTAGGTTTTGGACAAAATGCCACTTTTTTGTGAGAAGAAACTTTGTTTGGGAAATTGTAACTGGAGATAGTCAAGTAAAAAAGCCTAACTGAGGAGCATGTCAGGTGGAGTAGATCCCGCTGCATGCCTGTCTAATGGGGCTTGTTCGTTATGGCAGTGCTGCATATATTGACTCTTTTCAGTCAGCTACCTCTGAGGAGTCACCTGGAAACAGAAAGCCGGATGAGTCTCAGCTGGATTCCTGTCCTAACCTGATATGGCCACACCTTTCTCCCTCCCTCTGCTATGACAGCCAGAGAACACAAATAGAGGACTTGTGTGGCTGTGAGTGATGCCTGATTCCTTCTAGCCAGAACTGACTTAAATCCCTGATTGGGATTTTTTTTTCATAAGGGTCATTTAAATTTGTGTGCCTTGCCCCAAGAGCCCTATAAATTAAAACTCACCTTTGCACTTCCCCAATCTCCGAGTCACAGTGCACCAACCGAGAGCATTCCCCAGGCTGCTCTAACTCACACCCAGGCTGCTAACAGTCTGCAGGGACTGAAGCCGCAGCCAACAGTGGGGCATCCCAGTCTTCCCTCCTTTCTTCATCCACATCCCCTCTGCCTGGAGCAAGGAATGAGTGGCATGGGAGTCTTGATGTTGATTATAAGCAACAGTGTGGTGATCCTTCCGGGGTCAGGAATGCTAGCTGGACTGCCACCTTCCACTGGAAGTAAAGCACAAAGTGGCAACACCTCACTTGAGGATCTGGCCCTTCACATGGTTCCGGAGGAGTGTGAAAAGGAGGACAATGAATTTGAATTTCATGCAGTGGAGAAGTGTGAGTGGAAGGACTGGGGAGACAATGCAATCAACAGGGAGGAAGATGTTTATCAGGGCAGCTAACTTTGGGTGCCCATACAGGGACTGATGTAAGTATGAGGATAAATAAAGACAAACAGGAATAAACCTAATATTCAAACTATGGGCTAAGTAAACCTAACCCTAGTTAACTAAATCTAGACAGAGGAACTCTATAGGCCCATAATATAGAAGGAAGCAAGCTTCACATACAAGAAAAACTGTGCAAGTAACTCTCACTATTCCAACTGCTTCCTGTCCTAGGCTGTGTGTCCAAGGGAGCTAGATATAGTAGCATGGACATACGCAGATAACTTTCCATCCACACAGACGTTTGCCTTTGTTTCTTTTGCATAGAGCTAGGCCACCCCAACAGCTGCTTTCAGGCAAACATAGTCAGCTGGCAGGAACCTTCGATTCATAGAGAATAAGGCCAGAAGGGACCATTCTGATCATCTAGTGAGTCTGACCTCCTCCTGCGTGACATGGGTCATAAGCATTTCACCCTGTGGTTCCTGCTTAAGTATGAATCCCTTCTGCTATTACCACTGGTGCAGCCTTGGACTCCATGCCTCTTTTCCCAGAGATTTACCAAGCAGTCCAAGTTCTTCCCACACACAATCCCTCTTCTGCCCATATCCTTCCAGCCCATGGCTGTCTCCAAGTGAGCCTTGCCAGGTAGAAGAGCTTGAGAAAGATTCCTCCAGGAATCGCATGCCTGGTTTCTAGTGAGATTTTGCAAGGTCACCAGCATGCAGCTCTGCCCTACAGTTACTATGGGCATAGTTCCCATCTCCTACCTGGCAGGTAGAGCTAACAAAAGCTGAGTAGGGGTGACTATTGGTTCCATTAGCTCTTCATTGGAAAACAGAGTTCAGTGTTGGCAATTGCCTCTCATGGAGGAAAAAGAATGTCAATAAATGCATTTGACTAGTCAAAGAAGAATGCTGACTTCCCTTGTAAGGTTCAGGATAGGCGAGAAGGAAGATGATCTGAAAGTCTAGCAAGATACGACATGTTGCTTTCACAAAAGCAGTCTCCTAGGCCTGAGTCCAGCTGATCTGGAGACTTTGGGGTCTTCTAGATGGGAAAGTTTCACCCATTATATTGAGATGGCTATCCTATATGGACTCCTAGTCTGGCATGAGTGCCTTTTTCGGGATTAGCATCAACCCCTTCGCAAGCAACATAAACTAACCTGAAAAGGCCCTCTTATACTGGAATAAGGCTGTCCACTGGGGGGTAATACCAGAACAACTGTACTGGTGTAAGTTCACACGTTAATTTGTATCAAAAATCTTTCCCAGGTAGACAAGGCCTAAGGCCCCAAACTATTGGGAGTTGGTGGGTAAATCCAAGCCTGTCCCCAACTAGCTGCATTAGGTGAACTCTACACTGCAAGGCTGGGTTTGGGATGTTTGCATCACAAGGTTGGGATGTATTGAAATGCTACCACTTAATAAACAGCACAGGGAGGAGAGGGCTGGCCGTTTCCTTGCTGCTTGCCCAGAGACCCCCTCTAAGTCAGGACCCCAGGCCGGAGATGGAGGAAAGAGATTCTCGCTCAAGTTTGCTAAACCTGAACGTCTCCAGTTTCATCCACCCTTGCAAAATACACTGGTTCCTCTTGCTTGGCTTGTAGCTCTCCTTTGGGATGCCAGACCCTGTGAAGCCAGTCATGCCCAACTCTACCTCAATCAGGAGCCAGGCATGTGAAGCTACAGCACAGAAAAGCCCATGTTTTCAACTGGGATATGCCATGGAACAAATGAAGTTATGTATAAAACTACCCTGCATGATAACACTCTGGTTATAGCAGTAATGTAGTATCACACACAAATACTCAACTGTATTAAACTATGTTTGTGATTTACTTGGTGCTTGGAAAACTGTGTTTAAAATGGCAAGTGATCACTTTAAGATTGAAGGGTTTCTAGGTCTTGCTTGCAGGCTAGGTAGGGAAATTTGTGATCTGGGGCTTGCAGAATCAGTCTGCAAAAAGGCAGCCTAGAACAAAGTGGGGAGAGTTGTGCCTCTGTTTTAGGGAGCAGCCTGCTTTGTCTCTTTCTGTTTTGGGTTCTTGTGTGTTATCATTCTGGATTCTAAGAAATAAAGTTGTTACATTGCATCCTTTCCAGCAAGAGTATTTTGCATGTTTATCTAACTTATGTGTGTATACGCCATGAACATAACAAGATACCACCTTTCAGGGCAACAGGAATGTCCAGTTTCGATAGTCAGGTCTTTCTGCTGGGACTGCCATTAAGGAGTTAATCAGCACCTATTGCAATAGTGTAATCTGTGCTCTAAGTCCACAGGGACCTGGACTGAGCCCTATCAAACTAATTTCACATGGGATGCATAGTTGCCTTTTCTTACAGCGTGATGAAGATGGCAGCTCAGTGAAAGGCACCCTGAGCTTTGACCCCACACCCGATGCCCAAGTTCTGTATAAAGCCATGAAAGGACTCGGTGAGTTGACTCTATCTATTACCAGCCATGTTTTTAAAACATTCTACACTTCGGTTATAGCATTAGCACAATTCCCTACAGAAAACCACAGCCATTTGTGCCATCACATGGGAATTCAGAATCCAAGCTGCTCCAAAATGTGCCTAAATCCCCTCCTTGTGAGGGCAGTGAGTTTGGGAAGGTTGGATGGGTAATACCCTTGGGAGTTTGACATGTCTTGCCTTATTCTCCTGCACAGTGTGTTTACATCCTATCATCGTTTGTTTCCAGGGACAGACGAACAGGCTATAATCAATGTCCTCACCAAAAGGAGGAGCGCACAGCGTCAACAGATTGCCAGATCGTTCAAGGAACAGTTTGGACAGGTTATCCAGAGAAAGGACATGTTTGATCAATTTTCTCTTTGCACTGCATGATGCTTTTCCTGAGAAGGGAGGTGTCAGAGACCATGGGAGCACTGCCCTCTGCTGGATGGAATGTCAGATGTTGTGTGTTTGTGTCACCCATTGGTTTATTGGCACTGTTGTTGTAGCTGTGTTGGTCCCAGGATATTAGAGAGACAAGGTGGGACTGGTAATATCTTTTATTGGACCAACTTCTGTTGGCAATAGGGACAAGCTTCCAAGCTTAACAGACCTTTTGTCTCTCCCCAATAGAAGCTGGTCCAATAAGATATTCCCTCACTCACCTTGTCTCTCTCTAGGTATTTTATGGAAGGGTACAGAGGTTCTGGGCACTGACATTACTACAACAGTGCAAGTCTACCTTCTTAAGGTAGGTAGACTGGAGGTCTGTGTTCTTGGGACCCAAGGTTCTATCTAGTGCACGGATGCAGTATAATTAATGACCATAATGTTCTGCAGCATCCAGATTTCTTGTCCAACACCCATCCCCGGATTTATTACCAGGCCTGGGCTGGCCAGGGCATGTGTGCGTGAAGAGCAGAGCCAGTTGGAAAGCCACAAACTTCCCTATGGGAAATTTCAAGGATTTGGGTTTGTGGAAGGGTTGTGGGGATGAATTCTATAATGTTTGTGAAGTGCCCAGATATTGCAGTTATTGGAGGAGGCACTACAGAAATACCTAGACACAGTCCACTCATAAGGGTGGCCTCCTGATCAGCCCCATAGGTGCTTGTATAATAAGCCAGTCAACATGACACTGTGCATCAGCTTTATCGCTGTAGCTCATCATGGGGGTTACAAATGGAGATTCAGGGAAAGTGACGTGCAACGCAGTGAGCATTGGATGCACTCTTCCCTTAATTAGATCTTTCGTCTTTAACAGGATCTTATTGCCAGCTTGAAGTCTGAACTGAGTGGCAAGTTTGAGAGGCTCATCATAGCCCTTATGTACCCACCATTCAAATACGATGCCAAGGAATTACATGATGCCCTGAAGGTAAATCAATGACATGCTGCTTATTAAGTGGTAGTAGGAACACTGTGTTAATTTCCTGTGCTAATACAAGTGCTTGGTAGCTGAACTGGATGAACCCTTTCCACTGTATTGTTTCTCAGCAGGCCAATGTTTATAGCAAATATTTGGCTGGATAAGCTATTACAGCACGTCTTTGGTGGAAAGGGCACCCTTTAAAATATTATTTATGCCTTTGACTTGAGGTCAACAGCAGAACTGTGCAAAATTCCGTATTTCTGGTGAAGAATGATTGAAAAATACAGATCTCTATTGCCACTTCTTGCTCTATAAAATTCCAAAGTTCCTCTTCTTTCTGCCCAGACAGCTACAGCTCTCATCTAGGCCCTTCTCTGCTGTCTTGACAACTGTAACCTCCTCCTCTCTTGGGCCTCCCCAACAATGTCAGGTCCCCACAAAACACAGCTGCTAAGATCATCATCCTCACCTTCAATGACCACATCACCACCTTCTTTGAATCCCTCCAAAGGCTCAAGTTCGAAGTCCTTTTCATCCCCTTCCAGGCCCATCACATAAGAATGGATATACTGGGTCACACAAAGGTCCATCTAACCCAGTATCCTGTCTTCCAACAGTGGCCAATGCCAGGTGCCCCAGAGGGAATGAACAGAGCAGGCAATCATTGAGTGATCCATCCCCTGTCACCCATTCCCAGCTTCTGGCAAACAGAAGCTAGGGACACCATCCCTGTCCATCCTGGCTAGTAGGCATTGATGGGCCTATCCTCCATGAACTTATCCAGTTTTTTTTTGAACCCTGTTATAGTCTTGGCCTTCACAACATCCTCTGGCAAAGAGTTCCACAGGTTGACTCTGTGTTGTGTGAAAAAAATACTTTCTTTTGTTTTGTTTTAAACCTGCTGCCTATTATTTTCGTTTGGTGACCCCTAGTTCTTATGTTTTGTGAAGGGGTAAATAACACTTCCTTATTCACTTTCTCCACACCAGTCATGATTTTATAGACCTCTATCATATCCCCCCTCAGCTGTCGCTTTTCCAAGCTGAAAAGTCACAGTCTTTTTAATCTTTCCTCATATGGAAGCCGTTCCATACCCCTAATCATTTCTGTTACCCTTTTCTGAACCTTTTCCAATTCCAATATATCTTTTTTTGAGATGGGGTGACCACATCTGCTTGCAGCAGTCAAGCTGTGGGCGTACTATGGATTTATATAGAGACAATGTGGAATTTTCTGTCTTCTTATCTATCCCTTTCTTAATGAGTCCCAATATTCTGTTCACTTTTTTGACTGTTGCTGCACATTGAGTGGATGTTTTCAGAGAACTATCTGCAATGACTCCATGATCTCTTTATTGAGTGATAACAGCTAATTTAAGACCCCATCATTTTATATGTATAGTTGGAATTGTGTTTTCCAATGTGCATTACTTTGCATTTATCCACATTGAATTTCATCTGCCATTTTGTTGCCAAGTCACCCAGTTTTGTGAGATCCCTTTGTAATTCTTGGCAGACTGCTTGGGACTCTCAGCACATCCCCTCCCTGCTTGTCCCCTGTTGTCTACTGCAGCCTACTCATCAAATTTGCTCTGCAAGGGAGGCCATCCTCAGCTGCTCATTCATCAGTTTCTAACACCAACATCCCTGCACCTCCTCTCAACCTGCCCTTTGTGCATGGGATGCCCTCCTTGGACCAACCCATAAGGCTACTCCCCTCTCCTCTTTCAAATCCCTAACCTCTGACATGAAGCCCATAAGAAATCAGCCAGTGATGATGGCTGGAGGGGCAGGATGGGGTGATGTCTTCTTCCAGGTCCGAAGAGGTTGGTATGGGATGTTTGCATCCCAAGGTTGTGATGTGGGACTTTATTTCTCTACTTCTAATTATTTGCAAAATTACAAGTGGAGAGAAGCTTATGAAAATTGTATGTAGATGGATAGATTTGATTGCATCATTCTCCTCACACCCTTCTAATGCCACTTGTCATTGAAAGCCTTGATGAATGCATTGTACATGGGCAGAGCCCCATAAAATCAACTTCAACTCTAGGATTGCTCAGAGGAGGGGTGAGCCTTAGCAAACAAATCTGTACTGAAACTGAACAAGTTGAATGTGGTTCCAGGTTTCACCGTGACAATTTATCACAGCTCAGCACACAGCCTATGACAACCCTCAGACACTTGAGGGCTATTTTTCTAAAGATAGCTTTAATTGCATGGCAAAGTATTTTCTCCCACTCTTTTTTCCTTTTTCCTCTTAAAGGGTCTAGGAACAAGCGAAGGTGTCATTATAGAGATCCTGGCATCACGGACAAAAGTGCAAATTAAAGAAATAATCAAAGCTTACAAAGAAGGTAAAGCAGCTTACACTACACTGTGTGTGACGGAAGTACTGTGAGGGGGTTTTGTGGCAATTGAATGAACTGATAACATTTTCCGTAGTAAGGCGGGATCTTCAAAAGAGCTTGGTGTTGGCTTCCCAATGGAGTCAACGGGAGTTGGGCCAACTCTGGCTGCTTCTGAAAAAATCCCACCTTTAAATGTCCCATCTAGTAATGGGCAAACCTCAAAGGTGTCATGGGTTTAGTTCATGTGGGTAGCAAGCAAACCAATGTTGGTGTAATGGAATCTTCCTGTCTATGGAGCTGTATTTGTTCACTGGGTTTTGCTTTACTGGGACATGCCCCAGTTGGGACTCTGTCAAATTTATGTCCATGCCCATCCTTTAATCCCTTCAAGGCTCCAGGGCAGCATTTGGTCTTGAGAGAGGGTTTCAGAAAATAAGGCCCAGATTCTATAAGGTACTTAATTAAATGCATGCTTGGCTTTTCAGCATATGCTTGGCCCCCTGACTTAAAATTAGAAACTCTGCTGATGCATGTTCCTGAGTCGGGGCTAAGTGAGCTGCTCACAGCCATGTGTTTCCCTCAGGTTACCTTCTTGGGGCCTGCCAAGTATTCATTTGGTTCTGGAAGGCATGGTGACACCTCAGTCATTCACTGTGCCTTTCAGTGAACACGTCACCCCCGCCTCTTCTTGGTCCTCTTTCCCTTGCAGAGTATGGTTCTAACCTGGAAGAGGACATCAGATCGGACACAAGTGGCTACTTCGAGCAGATATTGGTTTGCCTCCTTCAGGTAAGTTTGTGATGAAAGAATGGGGAGCCAGGACTCTTCATCTCCCCTTCTTCTGATTGGGACTAGCAGTGAGTACAGGCCTCTTATCGCAAGCCCACCTGCTGCAGATAGCCATCAGAATTACAGATAAATCACCCGCACAGAGAGACCCCTTGAACTAGATCTCTGCTTTAAAAGCTGATGCAGAGTCGAGAGTTCCTTTAGGCACTAGTAGTTAGCCTTCCAAAACTGTTTCTGTGAGCTCCGCCACTGGGGGCACCATCCTATACACCATCCATTCCTATACAGCAACCTGGGCATTGCCCTCCAGCTAGTTTCAAAAGTGCTGTACCCCAATTGCATTGTGCCCCCTTTCTATACCCTGCCCCACAATCTTCAGAGAGCATCTCCATGCGTCAGAATTATTGACCTGAGTTAAGCAATAGCAACTGATCGGCTAAAACCACTCATATGATGAGGCGCCAATCACCAACAAGGATTTTTCTCTTGTATTGTATGTAACAATAAGGCTTATCTACCTGGCAAGGATAAAGGGCTGGGAGGATGAATTTATCCATCTGTAAAGTGCTTTGAGATCCTCATGCGGGCAACACTGTAGGAAAGCAAATAACCGTGTTTCCATTGTACCCTCCTAGGGCGAGAGGGATGATCCAAGATGCTATATGGATTCAGCAACGGTGCTTCAGGACGCACAGGTATTTCTATAAAGTGACCGGTCCTTTACCATAACGCTGATTCTTAGGGTGTGACCTGAAGGCCCTCGGTAGGGAATGGAATTACTCACCCTGCTGTAACAATTAGCTACTATCCCAGTTTAAACAAAGGCAAGGGTTGTGGTGTGAAAGGGTCTAGCTTGCCTGGCAGCAAGTGGCATGGTAAAATCAGTTATCCAAGCAATACAAGCAGTGCCCCAGCACACATCCAGCGGGAGCGGAAATGCTGCTTTGCACCAAGCCACATGAACCCCTCCCCTGTGAGATCCATGCCTCGAATGTCACTGGGAGCTGTAACCAATGTATTTCAATCACAGGCTCTTTACGCTGCTGGGGAGAAGATACAGGGCACCGATGAGATCCAATTCATCACCATCCTGTGCACCAGGAGCGCCACCCACTTGCTGAGAGGTACAGAGCAGGGGGATGTATTTTCATGCACGGCAGCAGCTTCCAAAATGAGAAAGCATCCCCCACAGAAAGCAGATGCAAGGCCGCCCAAGCCAACCGGGACACCCAAAGTTAGGCAGCTAAATCTACATTTAAGCACCTGAATATGTGCCCTGACTTTTTTTTTCTGAGGCGTTGAGCATCCAGAAGCTCCCATTCACTTTGGTGGGAGATCTGAGCACTCAACACAGTCCATTTACTGAAGAGTTCAGATACCATAGAGACTGGTGTGTTAGACAAAGATGGCTGGAGAGAAAGATCAGGTGGGTGAGGTGATATTCTTTCATTGGATCAACTTCTGGTGGAAGGCACAAGTTTTCATAGAATTCTTCCTCAGATCTGAAGATGGTAATTGCCGTGTCACCTTCTCCAGACCTGAGGAAGAGCTTTGTGATGCTCAAAAGCTTCTCCCTTCCACCAACAGAAGTTGGTCCAATAAAAGATATCACCTCAGTGAGAGACAGAGAGAGTGTCACTTTCTAAAATGCATTACAACATGCTGTTCATACTTGTGGCATGGTTTTATGTTGAAGAATCACAACACACCCAGGTAGAATCCCCGCACCATGCTCCTAAAAACATGATAGATATCAGTGACAGAGGGAAGTATGACATCAGACCGTCCCATGAGCAGCATAGAGCCGCCAATGACCACAGATTGTTCAGCCAAACAGGCTTTGTTACGTTGGTTGTCGTGCCCGTGTTCATAATAGGCCAGTCACCTGGTGCGAAGTCAGACCATGTGCCTGCAGCAGGTGAACCTGAACTTTGCTTCTGTGGCCTCTTGCTAGGAATCTGAGGCCAGCTCCCTCTTACATTTCCAAATGTAATCTCTCAGAATCAGTTCAGTATTGCTGACCTCGAGAGATCAAAAATCATGAGGCAGACCCCGCCCCCCAATCATGTGTTTTAAAAAATGTTGATCAAAGAAGGGCTGGAGGGTAAATAGTTTGAGATCCACTCACCTAATTAAATGTGTCATGATTCACATGCACACATTGCACTTATATTACTTTTTAAGGTCATATTAAAGAACATTGATAGAGGTTTAATCATTCAAATAAGTGATCATGTCACAGTAAAAACAATATGGGTTTGGTTTAGCCTTTTGCAAGAAGCAGCTCTTCCCTGATTTCCCCCCACCGCTCTGAGAGCGGAGTAATGGTATCTATTTAAAATTCAGTTCATTTCAACTCTGTTCCAGCTAAACTTATTTCTGATACAGGCCTGAGCTGAGAAGGTCATCTCCAATCTGTTAGTGTCTTTCACCGTAGTATCTAAGCACTGAGGTTAGAGGAGATAAGCTTGAACGCTGCCCAGATTTATATTTGAAGCTCACTGTGTTACATAGAACGATAGGGTTAGAAGGGACTGTAAGGGTCATCTAGTCTCATCCCTGCCAAGATGCAGGATTTGTTGCATCTCAACCATCCAAGACAGATGGCTAGCCAGCCTTGTTTTGAAAATCTCCAGTGAAGGAGATTCCATGACTTCCCTAATACACAGGTCTTCTTTAACTGCTAGCTCTGTGTGCAGGTCTAGAAGTCAAACTTGAGGCTTAATAATTCCTCACTTGCAATGTCTACACTCTACCTAGAGAGAAAACAAATCTTCACTGCTGTGGTTCAATATGAACTTTCTGCAGGAATCTGAGTAAATCCAAAGATCTTGGAATTTACCTCTGTATTTTTGCTTATGGTTTTCTCACTTAGTGGTTTTTCTTTTTGCAAGGAGGAAAACAAGAAATTCGAGCTTCCCCTGGTGTTTTTCCCCCATCCAAAAACTGAAGGGCCACGAGCAGCCCAGATCTTGTTAGTTCAGTTTTACTTCAGCTCCCTGAGCCAGTGACAGCAGCAAACACAAAACTGAATGCTAGAGCCATGCAGACTCCTCTGGAACCAGATATAGATCAATAGTCAAACACAGGGATTAAGGGCCAGATTTCCAAATGAACATGCAATGAGCGAACCTGTACTTCCAAATGTAAGCCAGTAAGTACGTACACCAGTGCCCATCTTCGTGCATAGAATCATAGAATCATAGAATATCAGGGTTGGAAGGGACCCCTGAAGGTCATCTAGTCCAACCCCCTGCTCGAAGCAGGACCAATTCCCAGTTAAATCATCCCAGCCAGGGCTTTGTCAAGCCTGACCTTAAAAACCTCTAAGGAAGGAGATTCTACCACCTCCCTAGGTAACGCATTCCAGTGTTTCACCACCCTCTTAGTGAAAAAGTTTTTCCTAATATCCAACCTAAACCTCCCCCACTGCAACTTGAGACCATTACTCCTCGTTCTGTCATCTGCTACCATTGAGAACAGTCTAGAGCCATCCTCTTTGGAACCCCCTTTCAGGTAGTTGAAAGCAGCTATCAAATCCCCCCTCATTCTTCTCTTCTGCAGGCTAAACAATCCCAGCTCCCTCAGCCTCTCCTCATAAGTCATGTGTTCCAGACCCCTAATCATTTTTGTTGCCCTTCGCTGGACCCTCTCCAATTTATCCACATCCTTTTTGTAGTGTGGGGCCCAAAACTGGACACAGTACTCCAGATGAGGCCTCACCAATGTTGAATAGAGGGGAACGATCACGTCCCTCGATCTGCTCGCTATGCCCCTACTTATACATCCCAAAATGCCATTGGCCTTCTTGGCAACAAGGGCACACTGCTGACTCATATCCAGCTTCTCGTCCACTGTCACCCCTAGGTCCTTTTCCGCAGAACTGCTGCCTAGCCATTCGGTCCCTAGTCTGTAGCGGTGCATTGGATTCTTCCATCCTAAGTGCAGGACCCTGCACTTATCCTTATTGAACCTCATCAGATTTCTTTGGGCCCAATCCTCCAATTTGTCTAGGTCCTTCTGTATCCTATCCCTCCCCTCCAGCGTATCTACCACTCCTCCCAGTTTAGTATCATCTGCAAATTTGCTGAGAGTGCAATCCACACCATCCTCCAGATCATTTATGAAGATATTGAACAAAACCGGCCCCAGGACCGACCCTTGGGGCAGTCCACTTGATACCGGCTGCCAACTAGACATGGAGCCATTGATCACTACCCGTTGAGCCCGACAATCTAGCCAGCTTTCTACCCACCTTATAGTGCATTCATCCAGCCCATACTTCCTTAACTTGCTGACAAGAATACTGTGGGAGACCGTGTCAAAAGCTTTGCTAAAGTCAAGAAACAATACATCCACTGCTTTCCCTTCATCCACAGAACCAGTAATCTCATCATAAAAGGCGATTAGATTAGTCAGGCATGACCTTCCCTTGGTGAATCCATGCTGGCTGTTCCTGATCACTTTCCTCTCATGCAAGTGCTTCAGGATTGATTCTTTGAGGACCTGCTCCATGATTTTTCCAGGGACTGAGGTGAGGCTGACTGGCCTGTAGTTCCCAGGATCCTCCTTCTTCCCTTTTTTAAAGATTGGCACTACATTAGCCTTTTTCCAGTCATCCGGGACTTCCCCGGTTCGCCACGAGTTTTCAAAGATAATGGCCAATGGCTCTGCAATCACAGCCGCCAATTCCTTTAGCACTCTCGGATACAACTCGTCCGGCCCCATGGACTTGTGCATGTCCAGCTTTTCTAAATAGTCCATAATCACCTCTATCTCCACAGAGGGCTGTCCATCTCTTCCCCATTTTGTGATGCCCAGCGCAGCAGTCTGGGAGCTGACCTTGTTAGTGAAAACAGAGGCAAAAAAAGCATTGAGTACATTAGCTTTTTCCACATCCTCTGTCACTAGGTTGCCTCCCTCATTCAGTAAGGGGCCCACACTTTCCTTGGCTTTCTTCTTGTTGCCAACATACCTGAAAAAACCCTTCTTGTTACCCTTGACATCTCTTGCTAGCTGCAGCTCCAGGTGCGATTTGGCCCTCCTGATTTCATTCCTACATGCCCGAGCAATATTTTTATACTCTTCCCTGGTCATATGTCCAACCTTCCATACTTACCCATCATATGCACATACAGATACTTACTTGTGTTTGTGTGGTGCCAGTATTTTTGTGTTTCACATTTTTTGGAACTCACCTGAAGTCAATGGGAATCAGGCCATCCACTTCTGTGGGCTTTGGGTCAGGCCCCTCAGAAATGCAATCAGTGGAAAAAAGGCACAAAATGCCTGGGGAATTGTTTGGCCTGGATTTAAAAGTCCTTCATTTGTTGTTTCCCACAGTCTTTGATGAATACCAGAAGCTCGCCAGTAAAAGTCTAGAAGACAGCATCCAGAGTGAAACCCATGGCTCACTAGAAGATGCCATCCTGGCTATTGGTAAGGGACACCGGACTCCCTTACTTTTGTCTACGCTTCTCTTCTACTGCGGTAGTGGGCTAAGCATATCCATCCCATAATACCAGGGCACTTCTTAGCTGCCATGATCTCATGGGGAGGTTTAGGGAAGACGATAGGGAGTTGAATTACTATAATCTGCTGTCCCTGGGTTAGACTGATCCTGGGCACTAACTGAATGTTCTCCTGTGTCTAGTGAAATGCACAAAGAACATCCACAGTTACTTCGCAGAGCGGCTGTACCATGCCTTGAAGGTAAGACTGTTCTAGCACAGGCTGTTCAGAGCGGGCCTACTTCTCCTCTCACTTCAGTCCGAAGCGCTGAAGGGGCAGTGGGGTAAAACTGGTGCAAGTGAGAGCAGAGTCCGGCCCAGCCCCTTTGGAAGAAGAGGGACATGTAGAGTTAAAGTCCTGAAGGAGCTTGCTTCTGTGGAGTTGAGACTGGCACAAAGAGTCCAGTTCAACCCTCAGCTACATAAGTGTAACCCCCACAGAGGTCATCGGATTTGCACTGGGTATAAATTAGGGCTGGGTTTTGTCCCTAGTGGTGGTTGAATTGTTCTGGTACCAATAAGTTTCCTGTTTTTTTAGGATGCATTTTTCTCAGTGACATTAAAATAAACAAAAGAAGTCCAAGGGGAAGTACATGGAAATCCCTAAAGCCTTTGGGGCTGAATGTGTCAATGCTAATCTTTAGCCCACTGAGCATAGATGTAACAAAGAAATGTGGGGCCTATGCAGTCTCCTTCCCTGGAAGACTGCAAGTGAGAGACGCTTCCCCCAAGTGTTTTGCAACTGATGAATATCCCCTTCTTAAGGGTAAAGGACTAAATGGATTGGCTGGAGTCCTGGGCAGATGCTCTGTAAAGCTATCATGCTTAGCTGTGCTGTATGCACCAATAAACCTCCGTTCCTGCTTGCAACCCTGCAGGTGTTTGCTCCAGAGTTTTTCATGCACAAAGATTGGCAGTCACACCAAACTGCAGGTTTGTCACATGAATAGTGAGGCACCAGGATGAGAGGCAGAGATGTGCTAAGTTCATTCTCAGCAGCATCTGAAACCTGGTCTCTTCCATCTTGGACCAATTTGCAAACACTAAATCTGCTTTCTCTTCTCCCCACCCCCCCTCCCACAAAAGAGAGAAAATTAGATCATGCCAACACTCGGTGGCACTGCCAAAGTGATAAATGTGTCATTGCAGGGGGCAGGCACTTGTGATGGGACCCTAATAAGGATCATCGTTTCCAGGAGTGAAATTGACTTAAATCTCGTCAAGGCTGAGTTCCTAAAGATTGCAGGCAAATCTCTCTCCACCATGATTCTGGTAAGCAGTAGCTTTGTTGTTATGAATCACTGACATGCCTTTCTGGTACATCCATCACCATGGTGTCTGACGACTGGGTGAAGGACTACCCCCCCAAGTAAGATCGTGAGTCTCCCCCCGTCCATAAGTCCTCTGAAAAGAGTCAAAGTCCAGAGGGAGTTGGGGATCCCTCCTTGCCCATTAGGGAAACACCTGGCTGAGCAGGTGAGCCATGGAATGTCACCTGCAGGTGATAGGACTTGTGCTCAGACTAGTTGCTGATGGAAGCTGGTTCTACTGCCACAGGCTCTGCACCAACCAAGCTCTGCTCCCACGTGCTTTGAGCTCTGCCAGCTGAAGCATCATGGTGGAACACAGTTGCTGTCCGCTGTCCTAGCTCCCTTCCCAGCCCGTGTGATTCAGCACACATTGCCCATTCTGCCCTAGTCCTCTGTCAAGCTGAACGCCACCAGCAGGCCTAACAGAGCACTTTGGAGCCAGCAGGGGCAAGACAGTCACCCATTTCATCTCTGAGGTTTTGCAGCCAGAGGATGGAGCCAAGCGCAGGGTTTTGCAGAGGGCCGTGGCCCTGTTTGGATTGGTCAGAAATATTGCAGGCAGAGCTTTCTGCCTGTCATCTCCCACGCAGAGCCAAGGGGCATGAAAATCTCTTGGACCAACTCCTCCAGGGGGGGAACATCCATGTTGTTCTGTCACAGATCCTAGTGAGCACCCCGTCCAGCCACTCTCTAGGGCTGCAGTGAACGGAATGCCAGGCTCTGGATTGCCCAGAGTTTTAAACGCCTGGAGCCTAAATAGCGTCCAGCCATTGCCCTGATGCTGGGTTCCCTAGGCACACTCTCGGGACAAAGATCTTCTCTCTGGCACCTCCTGTGGGGAGCTGGAACCGGCTGCCTGTTCCTAGCCCCTGGGTACAATGGTGACTCCTCAGACTCCAGTGTGTTTGAACGCGCCCTGTCCCAGAACTCCACCCCAGAGGTGTTTGGCTTAACTCACTCAGAGGCACACGGCAGCTGTGAACATACACTTTGCACAGTCTAACGCATTGACACTCTTCTCCTTAATCATGTAAATCACAAGAGGGCACAGATCATATAAAACAATAAACACCAGATGCCGGTCCCTGCCTGTTTCCTCTCCACTCTAGGGTTTTCTTTGGGCTGGGGGAGAGACTCTTGCATTGTCCAGAAGCCTTTTGGGTGGACTGGAGGAAAAATGGCTACAGTGAGTTACAACTGCCGGGGATCTGGCCCATATACTGTGTGTGAGAGATCTAGAAACTGAACATTTTCCAACCCCCTGTCCCCCCACGGAATACTTTGGAGTTGGATTTTTCTTTTTTGGTTTCCAAGCTGGTTGCTCATCCCTAGTAAAAAGCCACATTCTACAGTGGGGTTGAAATCCCAATGTTCTCCCATTCTATCATTCAGGGTTGTTCCCTTCCCCTGTGCAAATGGCACAGAGGCCCCTGTATGAGCAGTCCCCTGGGAAATCTGTCTGTAATTAAGGCCCCTTCTTCTAATCTACATTGTCAGTATCTGTCATGTTGATTAATGATCGGTCGTCGAGGGTCCTGACTGAATAATAATTCCTGCTGAAACATTGCGGAAAGTCCCCCAAAATACCCAGAGAGGATGAAATGAGCATCTCATCACTTTCTCGTTAACACTCCCCTCAACAGAGACTGAGAGATTTGTCTGTTTCCTAAAAACTTGACTTACAAAGCACATTAACCAAGGAAGAGTTCTACACTGCCAGCGATCGGGGGGCATTAAAACTTTGGTGGTGCAAGGTGATAATCAGTGACGGACGTAGATTGAGCAGCCAGCCAGACCATTTTAAGGATGCTCTGCAGGCCCTTGATCCATAAGCAGCAATACTCTATGCCCCTTTGGGAGTTGCGGCAATGATGATACCAATTTGATGCTTCACAGCTAAGTGCTCCACTCATTCTTTGCCAGTGAGTGGGGAGAATGGTGCGTAAATGCTCAGGCAGTTTGAACCTTGAGTACAACTGGCTTGAGTCTACTTTACTTTTCATTTACATGATTTTTTTTTTACTCCTGAGTTACTCCATTGACTTAGTGGAGTTAGTCCTGATTGGTTGCAAACCAGTATAAGTGAGAGGAGAATTGGGCTCAATATATTACACTGAGGGGAAACCCTATTAGGCCTGTTTCTCCTCTCACTTACAACGGGGTGTAAATCAGGAATAAATCCATTGAAGTCAATGTAGTCTGTCTTTCTCAAAGCCCCTGTCAGATGTGAGTGCATTCTATGGGGCTAGAATGCTAGCACGGTCCTCCACCTTCCATTCTATTTTTGCTCTTCCCTCTGTCAGGAGGACACGAGTGGTGATTACAAGACAGCCTTGCTGAATCTCTGTGGCAGTGATGAATGAAGAAATCTGAAGGGAAAAGGCAAGATGTTGAAATGGAGGCACGGAAACCGTTGGCAATGAATAAGTGTCTGGGAATGGATGTCTAGAAAATCCCTAGCACTGAATAAATAGAAAATGGAAAATCTGCTTTAGAGGCTAAGATTTTTAAAGGAATCTATGTGATCTGGGTACCCAACAAAGAGCTGTTCAGGAATTTTTCAACAAATCATTTTTCCCACAGGAAAAGGCCAATTTGTCAAAGTTGAAACTGTTCACAAAACAGTGCCCGTTTCAACTCGATAATTTTTTAATTTCAAAATGATCAAAACATCCCAGTTTGACACTTTCTGAACAAAAGTTCTGGCGTTTTGGCTTGAAATTGCTTTTTTGTTCATTTTGAAATTGGAGTAAATTTCACCTCAAAAAAAGGTTTGAAATCAAAATGAAACATCTTGGAAGGCTTCAGTGGGGCTGCTCCCGGGAATAAGGGGTGCAGGAGTGGGTGGGTGCTGAATTCATCGTTACAAAACCAATGGAGCTGATTCCTCCCTTGCTGACACCAATGGAAGCCAGGATAACTCAGCTGAAGACAAGGGAGTTACATCCAACTAGTGCGAGATCAGAACTGGGCCCGATATGTTTCCTGTGAACACACGTTTAGCCACGTTCTGGTCTCAGTGGGCCTGATTCTGCTCCCGCGTACGGAATCGCTCCATTTATCTCTGTGAAGTTCTTCTGCCTTTACTCTGCTGTGACCGAGAGCACAAAATGTGGCTCAGGAGCCAGACAGTGGCGCAGGGAGAACAAGATGAAATGTTCCTGCAAACTCTGTTTTGCTCTGACCAGCAGTTCACCCCTCGGCTCCTTCCTTGTTCCAAGCAGGCAAATTAAATGCATAATTACCAAAAGCCATTATGTGCAACCTGGTGATTTTTCTGATGGGGCAGAGGAATCTGCCTGCGGAAGCCAATCTCCCTTTTTTGCGCGCCTGAAATTAACAAGGATATGTGCATTTAGGATGGGGTGTTCAAAGAGTCCTAGATCCCCTTGAGCTGGGCCTCCAACTCCCTTAGGAGCCTTTGGTGATGCCATCCTGATACATGACACTTCCCCCACCCTGACAGCCCCAAGGTGGTTGTGCTTGAAGATATTCACGTAAGTCACATGGACTGCAATGAATCATCACAGTCTCCCTCATTCTAAGGTTTCCATCTAGTTTTACAAGAGGGAGGAGAGTCAGGAGGATAGGAGGATGTGCCCCAGCCAGGGTGACAACCCCACTTCCTCAGGAAGCTCAGCACCACCTCCAAGCTGTGTGAGCATCATGCGACTCGCAATCCACACTATGCACCATTGGAGTGTGAGCGATCACACAGGTGTTTCAACCTGTTGGGTGGGGGGCAGGGAAGGTCCTCATGACCTGCCAGCCCGCTGCAGCTGTGGCAACATGTCTCTCCTCCGCAGATATTTCCCTTCCTTGGGGGAAGTACTGTGGCAGGAGATCCGTGGGTTTGTGTTCACCCTTTGTGTCATGGGAATGCCTGAGGGGTTTTCCAGCTGGCAGGGATTAGAAGTCAGGGCTTGCTTTCAGGGGGATGCCTGGAAAAATCTAGAAGGGGTGTGGATGCAGAAATGTTACCCAGCCCTCGTAGGCATCTCAGTGTGAAACTTTTCCTACCCCGTGGCAACAGGGAAGTGACGAGGTTACACAGCTCTACCATTAGTTGTGCAGTACTATATAGCAGTTGGTAACCCATCGCTTCTACTCTGCTCTCCTGGTCTAGAGGTCAGAGGTTGCGGCGGCAGTGGGGGGGGGGTGATTGTTAGACCAAGAGCCCTGTGCTCTTTGCCACTGACTCATGTTGTGACCCATGTTGCTGCTCTGTGCCTCAGTTTCCCCATTTGTTCAAGGGTGGTAGTTACACTTATCGGTGCTGTGGGACTGAACTCCTCTCTGTAGAGTTCTGTGATATGCTCAGGGGCAGGAGAAGCTCTTCTGAGGTGTAGGGCAAAGCAGTGCAAGTCAGACTGTGCCATCATGGTTCATGCCCTATGGTATTCCGCCACAGGGGAAGGGGGGAGAGGAGGAGAGACGAAGAACCAAACAAGTGCGAACAGGGCCCTACATCAACGCCGTGCTTGCCGGACGCAGGTGAATGGGGCTGTTCCACCAGAGGCACTTTCCCCTGCTGATAAACAAGCAGGGGCTGGGGGCCACTTACCAGCACGAGATCATGGTTGTGCAACTGGCACAGAGGAGCTCATCTCTTCCCATTTGTGTGGCTGGCTGGCATCTTTTCTAATGGCCACCTGCACTGTCTGGGTCACATCTGTCTAGCCCACCCCTCTGTGCTCCAGCTGGGATCAGTGCCAGTGGTCCCAGCCGTGCTCCGCTCCTGGACTGCTCAATGTATTCACTCCATTAAAGTAAGCAAAGCAAGGACAATCTCATCTCCCCCCCACGCCCGCAGTGGGTGCCAAATCAGGGAGGGCCAGAGTGGGGCTTGGAGTGCACACCTCTGCAGGACAGGGGAGTGAGAATCTCTCCCTCCCCCCAGCAGGATGGGGTGGAGAATGAGTGAAGGCTTGGCTTCAGCCCCCCCTGCTTGCTGGCCATGCAGGGCCTGTCCTAATTTGTCCCTGGTATAAGCCAGCAACATGTTACTGGAGCAAGGGGCAATCAGAGCGAGGGCTCTGAGCAACAGACCCTCCCCACCCCCACCACGGCAGTTTATGCACCATCCCTCGCTCAGGGGTTGTGACGAAAGGCACAAAAATCTAGCCCTAAAACTATAACCTTTGTATGCCGTCCCTTTAAACCAAAGCCCTGCACAACAGCTGCGGTCAGGAAGGAAAGATGGACAAGGCCAGCGTAAGCAACTATGGTGCTCTCTAGCTGCAGGGCTTAAAATTCAGGCCCTGCTCCTGCAGTCGGATTTATGGGGCTCCACACTGGAGCTCAGGGCAGGGGTCCAGACTGCAGAATCAGGGCCTAGGGGTGTAGCAGTAACCTATCCCCACCCTCACTGGCCCCAAGCTCTGATGCCCCAACAGCTGGTGGGCTCAGCTCTGGAGTGAGGGGCTGTATGATGTGTGTGCCACCACCACAGGGCTACTCGCATCGGACTACGCAGGACAACAAACATCTTGTACTGTGGCAGACTCAGCTGCTGTTTTTTAGGGGACGATCCTTCTGTCGTTGAAGTCAACGGCAAACCTCTCAGTGACTGCAATGAGGGCAGGATCAGGCCCTTCGCTTTCAAATAAATGGGTGAAAAACCGATCTATTTCTCGGAATGAGACAGCGAGACAAGCAGGTCCCGAATGCTGGATGCCACCAAACAAAACTGGACTTGCAGCACCACCTTGTGGATCACTGGGGTGGGGGAATAACCCAGGTTAGAAAGAACCAGAGATGTGGGGTGAAATCTTCAAAGGGGTCTGGACTCCCTGGTGTCCAACAAACTTAATGGGAACTGGGCACTCAAATTCCCCAAGTGATGTTGAAAATCCTACCTGCATTCTCTAAAAGAATGTGAACACCAAGCCTGTGCTGGGAACCCCGAAAACGGGGCAGAAGCAGCCACATTATCCCAACTATTATTATTATTTGTGGTGTGATAGTGTTTAGATGTCTCAGCCATGGACCCAGGCTCCCAACAAAAAGACAGTCCCTGCCACAAGAAGCTGAAGATCAGTACCTCAAAGGTATTTAGGCGCTTAACTTCCATTGGATTAGGTGCCTAAATACCTTTGAGGATCTAGACCTTACTGTCTAAGTAGCCAAGACAGACTAAACTCTTCAGGGCAGGGACTGTCTTTTTGTTCTTGGTTTGTACAGCACCTGGTACACTGGGGTCCTGCTCCATGACTGCGGGGCTCCTAGGTGCTACCACAATGGGGGGGGGGGGAGAGAAAGTGACTTGCAAAGGTCCCACAGGGAATTAGGGCAGCGTCGGGAAATGAGGCTGGTAACAGAACAACAGAGGGAAGCCTGGCTCGAACAGCACAAGCACTGGGAAGCAGCATGACTGTAAGACATCGATAAGGATTTAATGATGTATCGATTGCTGGTAGAACATTCGCTAGATGAAAGGTGTTTTAATAAAGAGGAATCAATTCCTAACCACTTTGAGCTGGCCTTTTCAAACCACAAATATTTACACAGGGGCCTTTCATTTCATTCACCATTTAATTAATGGGAAAAACTTGAGATAAACGCCAGCATGTGTTAGTGGAATGAATATTCAGGTCTCTGATCCTGTCCAAAATAAATAAACAAAATACAGTCATTGATTTAATTATCACCAAGATCCAGACAGTGTTTGTCATCCTACCTCCACTTACAAACCCTAAAGGTTTAGTTGGTGCACTGATCCGGAAACCGGGAGTTAGGGGATGATCCCAAACCAAAGTGGGAGCATTCCTGCACAGTGATATTCCTTTCTGCTTCCTGCAGTTAAAATTATACACAAATCTTGCAAGCATTTGTTGTGCAAGATAAATGTGGCAGGACAACTTTCAGATGTGTACAGGCTGTAATGCTTCCCAGCTGCTTACAAGAGTTAATCTACAATAAACCTTGGGGACTTCAACACCAACAACATTTGGTCATTAACCGTTCCTCTAGAAAACCTATAGCACCTGGAGTGCTGTAGATTGGTGGGATGTCCATGACTCGGCTACACTGAAAGGACTTTGCAGGCCCTGGGAATCTGCTTCTGCATTTCCAGCTGGATGAAAACAGCTATTGTGAAATGGATACAGATTTCCCTAAATTTTGTAAGTGAAACAACAAAAGGGAAGGAATTTAACCTTTGGGAAAATAAATAGCTTACAGTCACTCAGAGGAACCAGTGCCAGTCCCCCAGTGATGATGAAGCCCAGGATGTGTTGTAAGCACACTATTAATAACGAGTGAGCACTGCGTTGTGAGTCTGTAATTGGATGCGGGGTTTCAGATGAAATTGCTCTTTGGGGTGACAAATGACAATGAGCCTTCAAATCAAGTTACGGCCTCACCAGGAGCTGAATCATGGCTAGGATTGTTCTCCTGGGTAAAGATGGATATTGATTACAGGTGCAAGAAGGCTTCTTTGGCTTAAACTTTGCCTGACGTTTTCCCTTCCTTGAGCAATGAGTCCACACAATTTCGTGGGAGTTTAAGTCCACTCTCAAAAACAAATGTCAAGTTTAAGGGGGAAAAAAGGGAAACGTAAAATTCACTTCAACTTTTTACTTTTCCAATGTTTACCAACCAAAGATCTTAAAACACTTAAGAAACTCCCCCAATAGTTTATCTAGCATACCTTGTTGTTTATCTTCTAGACGTTGACAGTTTTTTTCACTTTATTCTTTGCTCCATTATTTTATTAGGACACTGCCCAACTTACTTGGGAGTGGGTATTTTGCTCATGGTTTGTGTTATGAATCCTGTTTGTGGTGTTTCCCCAACATAATGCTGCATTGTTTCCCTCCTTTATTGAAAGGCTTTTGCTACACTCAGACTCTGTGCTTGAAAGAGGGGAAGTATTGCCTTTTAGAGGCGCCCAGTGGGGTGGTACGTAATTGTCCCAGGTCACTGGGTGGGGGCTCAAGCCGGTTTTTACATTGTGTTATTGAAAAGGAACCGCTAGATACTGAACCCAGCCTTTGTTGCTGCCAATTCTGATGGGCAGAAGGGTTACATATGATTGTTTGCTATTCCTGATTCACTCTTCATATAGCGTGATTGGTCACCTGAGTCAGATGGCATTGTTTCTATTTTCTGATTGGACAATCTCAGCTTTATAAAGGGGAGTCTTGTCTCTAGTTCTGATCACACCTTAGATTGCTTACTGGTAATTCTTTGATGGACCTTTTGGGCAAATAATAAA